TACATAATATTCATTCCATCTTCAATGGTGTTGATATGACATTCACTTCATGTTCACTATTACAGCAAAGGCATAGTAAATATCAATTTCACTTTATCAATTAATTCACCACACTTTGTATTCAAAATWCCACATACACATTATTGTCATGGTTTRTTTATTYCATTTAATCATAAAACRGTAACATTTGAAATCAAAWAATAATAAATAACAATAATAATATTGTTCTAATTACTTGAGGCGTATTGAAAAATGTCAATATATAATTGTATAAATGTTCATAATAATATTAATATAAATCTAGAATAAAATATAATATAAAATATAATATAATAAATATAAATTATTTACAAATATTATTTCTTAATTTGTTAAAATTCAAAATTAATCTTTAAGTTATATTTTAAAAAAAATCATAAGAATGATGAACTAAGATTAAAACTGTAACATTTGAAATAAAAATCTGAAGTCCAGCACAGTCTTCAAAAATAGAAATTATTTTCTATTGTTTTTTTTTTCTTTTTAAAAATACTTTATAAAAGCTTATCACTGAGAATATAATTATAATATAAAATATTGAATAATAATTGTAATTGAAAATTATGATTGAATTCTGAATGTGATAKATAGTTAAAAACACAAAACCTTCATTTATGATCAAGCTCCTAATTTTCATTTGTGACACATTCTTTTAGCCAAAAATAGGAAATACTATCAATATCAGGACACAATAGGCAATGTGTAGCAACGCCATTTCTTCAACAAAGCATGATGGTAGTTGTATTCCTTGTACTCATTATARAAATATATATAGCTCTAAGATKTATTTTAAAATTTTAGAGATGGACCAACTATTTGCAAAAACTGCTAGGGAAGACTGTCATGGGAGACATAAAAATTGCAAGGACTTCAACTACCAACAGTTAAACAGAGTGTGTTGCTGCATATTACCTATTCAAACTTAGTTTAAATTACATGTAATAATTTTAACTTATAACTTAATTGCCCACTCAGGGGCATCAATGGGCGCCATTCTCATTGAGGCAGGGCCTTGCCTTCTCTTAATGGTCATAGAATGTCCTTTCATCGATCTTCTCCTACTTATCCTTTTATCAAGCTTCAACATAATTTCATTGACCTCTCTACTTCTCCACCTGAGTGTTTTTTTTTTAACTAATACCTTGTGTTTGACCTCAGAGTCTGAACCTGAGAGATCATCATTCTCATCATGATCATGGTCATCATCTGACATAGACTCATCTGAAGAGATGAATCCTTTTGATAACACTGGTAGTATTTTTTTCTTTTCTTCCTCAGAATATGAGGTTGAGTTTTTAAGTGCCTTTTGTCTCTGCAACCGCTTCTGAAAAAACAAACAAACAAATAGCCATCATCAGATAAATGTTGAATTCTCAAAATTAGATACCTAAATGAAAAGGTGGTTGCTTGTTCAGTTGACCGTATTGATATATGCATCATATAAACCCCTTCAGGATATACAGTGATTATATAAAGCAAGCTTGCATATTATTTTATATATTACTTTCATACATTTCCTCAAGAAAAAAGAAAAGAA